CGCGTCGGTCGGCGCTGCTGCTTTTTAGCGTGTCCTCGCCTCGCGCGTTGCCCTTTTCCTTTCCCCCCTCTGCCTCCTCAATTGGCGCCTGGGGCGCCCAGTGCATTCAGGGGCTGCGGGTTGGCCGTTGGCCGCCCGGTCCTGCGGGCCGCTCCCGTAGGGGGCCGCTCCTGGCCCGCACCGTCGCTGGCGCCTGCGTGTCTCCTGGCGGCCATGCCGCGCCCGCGCAGCTTAGTTATGTTGTCTCCTAGTTTCTGGTGTGCGTTGCTCGCCCAGTTTCCTCGCGTCTTGAGTTGGCGCTTCGCTGTTACAGGTCTTCATTTGCATATCATACTGTGTACTGTAATTCGTTGGCGTGCAGGTTTGCGTGGTGACTCACGGAGCTCCGCATTGTGCCTCAACTTGGTCCCCATTTTGTGGGCGTTGTGTTTTCCTCCTCCTTCCTCCCCCTCTTCCCCCCTCCCGCGTCCTATATCATGACGTGCTGGTTTTTGTGAATTGGGTGGTTGGGCCATTCTGTATCTTCCTGCTCGCTCATGTGGAACGTATCAACGGCTGTCTAGGCCTCGGGGGGTTCAGGCACATGGCGCACCCCGTTCCTCAGTTTTGTTAACTTTCCCATGGTGTGTGTGTGTGTGTGAACGTGTGTCCAGCTGGTGGGGCTGGGATGATGCATAATACTTCGCAGCGGCTGTAAGTGAGGAATAAAACGCCTCTCAAATGCAACCTTATTTTCCGCCAGTGCTTGAGAGGAAAACAACATAAAAAATTGGCACGCCTCTCACACGGTTCGTTGCCCCGTTGTAAGCTCCACCGAAGGCCTTAGCAGGAGCGTCCGCATGGCACCACCGCCCCATTTTGGCACACCCCTCACGCGGTTCGTGACCCCATAGGGTGTTCCACCGAAGGCCCCAGCCGGAGCGTCCGCATGGCTTCGCCGCCCCATTTTGGCACACCCCTCACGCGGTTCGTGGCCCCATAGTGAGTTCCACCGAAGGCCCCAGCGGGAGCGTCCGCATGGCACCGCCGCCCCTTTTGGTACACTCCTTGCGGTACGTGGCTCCACCGCCGCTTCATTTTGGCATACCTTTCACACGGTTCGTGGCCCCATAGGGAATTCCACCGAAGGCCCCAGTGGGAGCGTCAGCGTGGCACCGCCGCCCCATTTTAGCATACCCCTCACACGGTTCGTGACCCCAGTGGGAGCTCCACCGAAAGCCCCAGCGGGAGCGTCCGCATGGCACCGCCGCCCCATGTCGGCACACCCTTCACACAGTTCCTGCCCCTATAGGGAGCTTCGCCGAAGGCCCCAGCGGGAGCGTCCGCATGGCACCGCTGCCCAGTTTCGGCGCACCCGTCACACGGTTCGTGGCCCCAGAGGGAGTTTTACCGAAGGCCCCAGGGAGCGTCCGCATGGCACGGGCCGCGCACGGGGCTCGAGCGAAACCAAAGATACTCCCCGCTCGCCCGCGTCAGCTTTTCTCCCCCTCGTGCACGCTGCAGTTTTTTTTGCTGCCCCCCTCCTTCGTCTCGTCTCCCTCGCGGTACTCGCAGCAGCATGTGGTTGGGTCCTTCGCCAGGCTAATTGAAACGAGTGTGCGCCGCGCTAAGGCGAGAGCCACATTTCGAAAACGACCCGCCCTCAATCCGTGGATCTTTGGCAAATGTCTAAAACGAATGTGCGCGGCGCTCTCCCGCAAATGGGTGATACGTTTTCGGGCGAATTCGTATCATGTGGTTTCTGCATTGTCGTTTCTTGTGTCCGTCTCCACACGCTTGGTGAGGAAGAAAACGGCTATCAAGTGCAACCGGCTTTTGCGTTACGACGGTGGTTCTTGAATCATGCGGTCCAAAAAAATTGAAAACGACCCGCCCTCCATATGTGAAGCTGTTGTCAATTCTTAAGCTCCATAGTCATAAGTGATGGGGAAGTCTCAGGCGAAACGCCCAGCCTGCTCTGAAAATTGGCCTCGGGGTGCGACAGGGTGAATTTATTCATACGGAGGAAGAGGAGGAGGAGGAGGAGGAGGAGGAGGAGGAGGAGGAGGAGGAGGAGGAGGAGGAGGAGGAGGAGGAGGAGGAGGAGGACGAGGAGGACGAGGAGGACGAGGAGGAGGACCAGTGTAACCCCAAGAGTCATCAAAGATGTTGTAATTAAGCTTCCCTCCGAACTCCCTCTTCATAGGACCCATACAACGGTTCATTTCCATTGAGGGAACTGCCTCGTTGGAAGACAACTGTTTGAAGATCCTGAAGCATGCCAGCACATTGTTCTCGGGATTTCATCGCCACGTATCAACCAGACTGTTGTGATTTGGCGATCCGGAATCGTGTTTTTTTTGGCCCGCATAATCGTGAATTCCTCCAAAACACAATTTTTGGTGCGCGGCGCTAGGGCGAGAGCCACATGTTAAAACGGAACCGCCCTCAATCCGTGAAGCTCTTGCATTTTTAAAAAGAATGTGCGCGGCGCTAAGGCGAGAGCCACATTTTGAAAACGACCCGCCTTCAATCCGTGAAACTCTTGCACATTTGTTAAACGAATGTGCGCGGCGCTAAGGCGAGAACCACATTTTGAAAACGGCCCCCCTTATTCCGTGAAGCTGTTGCAAATTTTAAAGCGAATGTGCGCAGCGCTAAGGCGACAGGCGCCTTTTGAAGACCACCAGCCCTCAATCCTTGAAGCCCTTGCAAATTTGTAAGACGAATGTGCCCGGCGCTAATGCGAGAACCACATTTTGAAGACCACCCGCCCTCAACCCGTGAAACTCTTGCAAATTTTGCAATCGAATCTGCGCGGCGCTAAAGCGAGAGCCACATTTGAAAACCACCCGGAACCACCCGCTGTTGTCATTCCCAACCATCCTGTGGTGTTGGGTCCTCGTTTTGAAGAGACAGCGCCCCGCGTCCACTCCTCTCCTCCTCTTCCCCCTCCTCCCTCCTCCCCCTCCTTGCCTCTGCTCTCGGCACACCTCTCACGCGTTTCGTAGCCCCAGAGGGAGCTCCACCGAAGGCCCCAGTGGGGGTGTCCACATGCGGTTCCCCCACCCAGGGCAGCGTTTCGTAGCCCCAGAGGGAGCTCCACCGAAGGCCCCAGAGGGGGTGTCCACATGCGGTTCCCCCACCCAGGGCAGCGTTTCGTGGCCCCAGAGGGAGCTCCACCGAAGGCCCCAGTGGGGGTGTCCACATGCGGTTCCCCCACCCAGGGCAGCGTTTCGTAGCCCCATAGGGAGCTCCACCGAAGGCCCCAGTGGGGGTGTCCACATGCGGTTCCCCCACCCCACCGCATGCGGTTCCCCCACCCAGCGTTTCGTGGCCCCATAGGGAGCTCCACCGAAGGCCCCAGTGGGGGTGTCCACATGCGGTTCCCCCACCCAGGGCAGCGTTTCGTGGCCCCATAGGGAGCTCCACCGAAGGCCCCAGTGGGGGTGTCCACATGCGGTTCCCCCACCCAGGGCAGCGTTTCGTAGCCCCATAGGGAGCTCCACCGAAGGCCCCAGTGGGGGTTCCACATGCGGTTCCCCCACCCAGGGCAGCGTTTCGTAGCCCCAGAGGGAGCTCCACCGAAGGCCCCAGTGGGGGTGTCCGCATGCGGTTCCCCCACCCAGGGCAGCGTTTCGTAGCCCCAGAGGGAGCTCCACCGAAGGCCCCAGTGGGGGTGTCCACATGCGGTTCCCCCACCCAGGGCAGCGTTTCGTAGCCCCAGAGGGAGCTCCACCGAAGGCCCCAGTGGGGGTGTCCACATGCGGTTCCCCCACCCAGGGCAGCGTTTCGTAGCCCCAGAGGGAGCTCCACCGAAGGCCCCAGTGGGGGTGTCCACATGCGGTTCCCCCACCCAGGGCAGCGTTTCGTAGCCCCAGAGGGAGCTCCACCGAAGGCCCCAGTGGGGGTGTCCACATGCGGTTCCCCCACCCAGGGCAGCGTTTCGTGGCCCCATAGGGAGCTCCACCGAAGGCCCCAGTGGGGGTGTCCACATGCGGTTCCCCCACCCAGGGCAGCGTTTCGTAGCCCCATAGGGAGCTCCACCGAAGGCCCCAGTGGGGGTGTCCACATGCGGTTCCCCCACCCAGGGCAGCGTTTCGTGGCCCCATAGGGAGCTCCAGAAGGCCCCAGTGGGGGTGCCATGCGGTTCCCCCCCAGGGCAGCGTTTCGTAGCCCCATAGGGAGCTCCACCGAAGGCCCCAGTGGGGGTGTCCACATGCGGTTCCCCCACCCAGGGCAGCGTTTCGTAGCCCCATAGGGAGCTCCACCGAAGGCCCCAGTGGGGGTGTTCGCATGCGGTTCCCCCACCCAGGGCAGCGTTTCGTAGCCCCATAGGGAGCTCCACCGAAGGCCCCAGTGGGGGTGTTCGCATGCGGTTCCCCCACCCAGGGCAGCGTTTCGTGGCCCCATAGGGAGCTCCACCGAAGGCCCCAGTGGGGGTGTCCACATGCGGTTCCCCCACCCAGGGCAGCGTTTCGTAGCCCCAGAGGGAGCTCCACCGAAGGCCCCAGTGGGGGTGTCCACATGCGGTTCCCCCACCCAGGGCAGCGTTTCGTAGCCCCAGAGGGAGCTCCACCGAAGGCCCCAGTGGGGGTGTCCACATGCGGTTCCCCCACCCAGGGCAGCGTTTCGTAGCCCCATAGGGAGCTCCACCGTAGGCCCCAGTGGGGCTGCCCTCATGCGGTTCCCCCACCCAGGGCAGCGTTTCGTAGCCCCAGAGGGAGCTCCACCGTAGGCCCCATGGGGGTGCCCGCATGCGGTTCCCCCACCCAGGGCAGCGTTTCGTAGCCTCACAGGGAGCTCCACCGAAGGCCCCAGTGGGGCTGCCTGCATGCGGTTCCCCCACCCAGGGCAGCGTTTCGTAGCCCCAGAGGGAGCTCCACCGAAGGCCCCAGTGGGGGTGTTCGCATGCGTCTCCACTACCCAGAGGTAGCGCCGCCGAAAACGATATTCACACTTGCGGTATTCACAGTTGCATATGGTTGGGTCCTTCGCCAGGCTAATTTTTTAAGCTTCATGGTCATGAGTGGTGAGGAGGTCTCAGGCGAAACGCCCGGCCCGCCCTGAAAACTGGCCTCTATAAGGAGACGGACTGGAGGAGGAGGCGGAGGAGGAGGAGGAGGAGGAGGAGTGGAGGGGTAGGGGTAGGGGGAGGGAGAGAGAGGGAGGGAGGGAGGGATGGAGGGAGGGAGGAGGGGGGAGGAGGACGAGGAGGAGGAGGAGGAGGAGGAGGAGGAGGAGGAGGAGGAGGAGGAGGAGGGGTAGAAGCAGGAGGAGGAGGAGGAGGAGGAGGAGGAGGAGGAGGAGGAGGAGGAGCTGAGGAGGAGGAGCAGAGGAGGGAGGAGGAGGAGGAGGAGGAGGAGGAGGAGGAGGAGGAGGAGGAGGAGGGGAGGAGGAGGAGGAGGAGAGGAGGAAGACAAACAGAAGGAGGAGGGGGAGGAGGAGGAAAAGAGGGGGAGGAGGAGGGGAGGGGAGGAGGCGGAGGAGGAGGAGGAGGAGGAGGAGGAGGAGGAGGAGGAGGAGGAGGAGGAGAGAGAGGAGGAAGAGGAGGAGAGGGAGGAGGAGGGGGGAGGGTAGGAGGAGGGAGGAGGAGGAGGAGGAGGAGGGAGGAGGAGGAGGAGGAGGAGGAGGAGGAGGAGGAGGAGGAGGAGGGGGAGGAGGTGGAGAGGAGAGGAGGAGGAGGAGGAGGAGGAGGAGGAGGAGGATGCGGCGGCGGCGGCGGCGGTTCAGGAGGAGGAGGAGGAGGAGGAGGAGGAGGAGGAGAAGGAGGTGCAGGAGGAGGCGCAGGAGGAGGAGGACGAAAAGGGAGCGCTAACGCTCGTGCGGGCCACCAGGGTCGGCCCCAACACCGGCCTGCGCACTCGAATCAGGCCCCACCGCGGCCCCCGAAGGTCATACACCCAAGGTCATTCCTGTACGTATGTTGTCACTCTTGCGTATTGACGATCGGGATGCTTTTCAGCGGCTGCGCCTCGTCGACAGCGTTCCAGGGGTGCCCGAGTCGCCCCAGACGGCAGAAATGGATTCCCGGATTGAGGAGTTGCCCCTGGGTTAGGGGGGGGGGGCACTGGGGCGTCAGATGTGGGCAGAATCATAGATCTCCCTCGAGGTTTTTCCCTACCTAGGCTCTGCCTAGAAGGGTTCTTACTGTGTTGGCTTAAAGGGCCGGGCAGTGTAAAACGCCCCGGGCGGTTCCCCCGGCATCCGTCCCGCGGTTCCCCCAGGATCCGCTCCGCGGTTCCCCCAATTACGTCCCCTGGGTTCACCCAGCTTAGCTTAGCTTAGCTAGCTTAACTTAGCTTATCTCAGCTTAGCTTAGCTTAGCTTTGCCTAGTCTAGCCTAGCCTAGCCTAGCTTAGCTTAGCTTAGCTTAGCTTAGCTTAGCTTAGCTTAGCTTTAGCTTAGCTTGGCTTAGCTTAGCTTAGCTTAGCTTAGCTTATCTCATCTTAGCTTAGCTTAGCTTAGCTTACCTTAGCTTAGCTTGGCTTAGCTTAGTTCAGCTTAGCTTAGCCTAACCTAGCCTAGCTTAGCTTAGCTAAGCTTAGCTTAACATAGCTTAGCTTAACTTAGCTGAACTTAGCTTGGCTTAGCTTAGCTTACCTTAGCTTAGCTTAGCTTAGCTTTATCTTACCTTAGCTTAGATTAACTTATCTCATCTTAGCTTAGCTTAGCTTAGCTTACCTTAGCTTAACTTGGCTTAGCTTAGTTCAGCTTAGCTTAGCCTAACCTAGCCTAGCTTAGCTTAGCGTAGCTTAGCTTAACATAGCTTAGCTTAGCTTAGCTTAGCGCAGCATAGCGCAGCGCAGCATTCGCACATCATAGCATAGCATATCATAGCCAATCATAGCATACCATAGCACATCATAGCTCATCATATCATAGCATAGCATAGCATAGCATAGTGCAGCATAGTATATCTTATCATAGCATAGCATAGCATATCATACCATAGCATCACACAGCGCAGCCGAGCGTACCGTAGCATAGCATAACATAGCATAGCCTAGCCCAGCATAGCGCAGCATAGCGCAGCATAGCAACTTATAGCATAGCATAGCATAGCATAGCGCAGAGTAGGCGGCATGTAGATGCAGGTGTAGATGCAAATGTAGCTGTCGGTGTGGATGTAGATGTTGCTTTCCTAAATGCTCCAACTCCTAGATAGGGTCGCACTGGGCTGGGATAGTGTATGGTTTTCGCATTTCGCATTTTCGGGCTTTCGTCGGCTTAAGACGGCCCAGGAAGCCTCCATGATGGCCCCAGGACGGCCCAGGAGGCCCCCAAGAGGGTCCCAGGAGGCCCCCCCAGAGGAGACCGACTCCAGCGGAAGAGCTGGTCCCGGGTCCAGGGGCAGGCACCAGCCAGGAGGTTTCCGCATAATGCCTGCGTGATGCATTAGGCGTTGGGGGACACTCCGCGCTCTCGGCGAGGGGCCGGGGGGCCACCCAGGGGTCTGGCCGTGGCCCGCGCGGGAGCCGCCAGCGGCGGCCACGCGCCTGGGAGCGCCGCGGCCCTGGCCGAGCTGCGCGGCCTCCTGGCGGAGCTCCGGGTCGACGTGCTGCTGGTGCCGACGGACGACCCGCACTTGTCCGAGGTGCCCCCGGAGACCTTTGCGCGCAGGCGCTTCATATCCGGCTTCACGGGCTCCGCTGGGACCGCAGTGGTGGGTGCCTCGGCGCAGCTGGGAGCGAAGCTCTGGACGGACGGCCGCTACTTCCTGCAGGCCGAGAGAGAGCTCGGGGAGGGGTGGGAGCTGATGCGCATGGGCGCCGAGGGGGTCCCCAAGCTCGCCGAGTGGCTCACGCAGGCGCTGCAGGCGGGCGGCGTGGTTGGCCTGGACCCTCTGGTGCACCCCGCGAGCTTCGTGGCCGAGCTGCAGCGGGACCTGGGGGCGAAGGGCATCGAGCTCAAGTGCCTCACGGAAAACCCCGTCGACACGCTGTGGGGCGCGGCGCGGCCACCGCCGCCAGACGCGCCAGTGCGGCTGCACCCCGAGCGGTTAGCGGGGCAGTCCGCCGCGGAGAAGCTCGCGGACGTGCGGGCGGAGATGGGCCGCAAGGGCGCCGGGGCGCTCGTAGTCTCCGCGCTGGACGAGGTCTGCTGGCTGCTGAACCTCAGGGGCGGCGACGTCGCGAACACGCCCGTCGTCATGTCCTACGCGGTCGTGGAGATGCAGGCCGCGACGCTCTTTGTGCACGGCGCTAAGCTGCCGGAGGAGGTGCGGCGCGCGCTGGAGGAGGCGGGCGTCGACGTTCGTCCGTACGGCGAGGTCATGGCCGCCATCGCCAGCATCGCCTCGCAGCTGGCGTCGCCGCCCTGCGCGGTGTGGATGGACCACGGAGAAAAAGCAGCTGCATACGGTCAGGAACTTTTGGTCGCCCCGCTGGTTCTGGCCCACCACGCGTCGGCGCGATACGCTATCCACGTCCCCAGTCCCCAGGCTTCAACGTCCCGAGCCTTTTCCAGCCTCCCGTCCTGTGGTGCGGAACGACACGCTATCCACTCTTAGGGGATAGCGTGTCGGGGCCGCCGCCGCGACACGCTATGCACAGATTACCGACCGTAAGCATGGGCTTTGGAGGTGAGCGCGGATTTCTCGGATCGGCGCTGGACCCCCTTTGGCGGTGCCTGCTGCGCCGCCCCTGGCGCGCTTCGCGCGCCAGAGGTGGAGGTCCAGCGCCGATCCAAGAGATGAAGATGACCTCCGAAGGTTTATCCCACCGTCAGGATCTGCCCATGTCCACGGCTTCGGGGTCGTGCCCTTGGGTCTCGAGGAGTAGTGGATATGGGTATCCGTCCACCTGACAGGGGCGGGGAGGCCACATACTCACCCCTGCCTGGAGGCCAGGGCACACGACCCCTCGGCAGTGGGCGTGGTCATGTTTTGGCGGCGCACCTTTTGGCTGCGCACCCGCGTTTGCGCTGATATTTCATCTTCGTCCGTAGCTGCCTCGAAACGCCCGTTTTGATACGCAACACGTGCCGTGCTCAAAACGTCCGTGTCAATACATTCCTTGCTGGCTCAACGTTCTGACCCACGTTTTGGCGAACGCATCGCGGCAGACCTATGTTTTCAGTCTACGTGTTGAGTTCCGTAACAATGCGCTACGTGTTGCGTGTTGCGTATCGGGGTAGCGAAGTCGTCGTTTTATACAGGACCCCCAGCGCACCAACCACGCGCTCTGCCTGGCCGCCGCCGGCCGCGAGCGCGTCACGGCGCCGTCCCCCGTGGCCGCGCTGAAGGCGCGCAAGAACTACTGCGAGCTCGAGGGCATGCGCGCGGCGCACCGCAGGGACGGCGCTGCGCTCGCCGGCTTCTTCGCGTGGCTCGAGGATTGAGGACGCGTAATGGGTGGGGGGTCGATCAGTGGGGGGGCAGCGAGAGCTGCGGAAAGGTGCCCTTCAGGGCCCCTAAAGGGGTCCCTCTGGGCCCAGGGAACCTTGAGGGCCCGACCTTTCTTTTCCCCCCCCTAGAAACGCCCCCCCCGTTGTTTCGCGCCCCAGAGGAGAACGTCCGCCGGGAGCCCTCCCATGTCACCGAGGTGGACGTGGACGAGGAGGTCACGAGGCGGGGCCCGCTCCGATCCAATCCGACGTGTCGACTCTGGCCGCCCCGATCCGATCCGGTTCGCGGCCGCTATCCGATGCGGTCTCGGCTCCGTCCCAGAGCCGGGCCCGGATCTGGCGCACAGTGCGATCCGACCCTGGCCTCGCGGTCCACTGCGGGCTGGTCCTGCGGAGGCGCCGCGCGGCGCAGCCGGGCTACCTGCAGAACTCCTTCGACACCATCGCGGGGTATGGGGAGAACGGGGCCGTGATCCACTACAGGGCGCAGGCCGAGACCGCGGCGGTGCTGGGCACCTCCGCCCTGTTCCTCCTGGACTCGGGCGGCCAGTACGACGACGGCACCACGGACGTAACGCGCACGATGCACTTCGGGCGCCCGACGCCGCGCGAGCGGGAGTGCTTCACGCGCGTGCTGAAGGGGCACGTGGCACTCGCCTCCGCCGTGTTCCCGCAGGGCACCCCCGGGTTCTCGGCATCGACAGGGGATGTCCCCATCCCCAGCGGGCAGGGGCTCCATGGCGCCACCAGCCTGGCCCGATCGAGTTGGGGATGGGCGTGGGCGTCGCGAAGCCCGACGGAGAGGGTGCCTATCCCCACCTGGAGGGCAGGTCGGCCAGCGCGGTCAAGGCTTTCCCCGTTGGCATGTGGATGATGGTGGTGGTGGTGGTGATGATGATGATGATTTTGATGATTATGCTGCTGGTGACTGTGATGATGCTGATGATGATGATGTTGTTGATGATGATGATGTTGATGATGATGATAATGATGATGCTGATGCTGATGCTGATGCTGATGACGATGATGACGATGACGATGATGACGATGATTGTGATGATGATGATGATGATGATGATGATGATGATGATGACGATGACGATGGCGATGGCGATGATGATGGTGATGATGACTATGATGATGATGATGATGCTGATGATGCTGATGATGATGATGCTGATGATGACGGGGACGATGGCGATGATGATGGTGATGATGATGGTGATGATGATAGTGATGATGACGATGCCGACGCTGATGATGATGACGATGATGATGAAGATGATGATGCTGACGATGTTGCTGATGATGCTGCTGATGATGCTGATGATGCTGATGACGATGGCGATGACAATGACGATGACGATGACGATGATGACTGATGATGCTGACGATGATGGTGATGATGGTGATGCTGATCATAAAAGTGATGATGATGATGATGATGATGATGATGATGATGATGATGATGATGATGATGATGATGATGATGATGATGGTGGTGGTGGTGCTGGTGGTGGTGGTGGTATTGATGTTTAGGGCCTTGGTGCGCCACCAGATCTGCACATGGCCAGCGAGCCGACGCACTTCCGCGGCCGAGTGGGACAGTGCTGCCGAGAATGTAAATGAGGATGATGATGACGATGATGATGATGATGATGATGATGATGATGATGATGATGATCATGATGATGATGATGATGATGATGATGATGATGATAATGATGGTCGAAATGATGATGATGATTATGAGGATGATGCGGATGATGATGCTGCTGATGCTGATGCTGATGCTGATGATGGTGATGCTGATTATTATTATAATGATGATGATGATGATGATGATGATGATAATGGTGATGATGGTGATGGTGATGATGATGCTGCTGCTGATGATGCTGATGCTGCTCATGACGATGATGACGATGATGACGATGACGATGATTATGATGATGACAATAATGACGACGATGACGATGACGATGGCGATGAGGATTGTTACGATGATGCTGACGATGATAGTAATGACGATGACGCTGATGATGCTTATGATGCTGCTGATGATGCTGCTGATGATGCTGATGATGACGACGATGATGATGACGATGACGATGACGATGACGATGATGATGATGATGATGATGATGATGATGATGATGGTGATGATGATGCTGATGCTGATGATGATGATGATGATGATGATGATGATGATGGGGGTGGTGGTGGTGATGATGATGATTATATGATGATGCTGATGATGATGATGATGATGGTGGTGGTGATGATGCTGATGATGATGGTGGTGGTGATGCCCTTGATGACGATGATGACCATGCTGATGCTGTTGCTGATGCTGATGCTGATGCTGATGCGGATTTTTATGTTGATGGTGGCGGTGATGATGATGATGCTGATGGTGCTGCTGCTGATGATGATGTTGATGATGACGATGATGATGCTGATGAGAATGACGATGATGATGCTGCTGATGATGACGATGACGATGACGATGACGATGACGACGACGACGACGATGATGATGATGATGATGATGATGATGCTGATGCTGATGCTGATGCTGATGCCGATGCTGATGATGATGATGATGATGCTGCTGATGATGATGACGACGAGGATGATGATGATGATGATGATGATGATGATGATGATGATGATGATGATGATGATGATGATAATGATGATGATTATGATGTTGATGATGATGATTATGATGATGCTGATGATGTTGATGCTGCTGTTGTTGATGATGATGATGATGCTGATGATGATGATGATGATGCTGCTGCTGCTGATGATGATGATGATGATGATGATGATGATGATGATGATGCTGATGATGATGATGATGATGGTGGTGGTGCTGGTGGTGGTGGTGGTAGTGATGTTTAGGGCCTTGGTGCGCCACCAGATCTGCACATGGCCAGCGAGCCGACGCACTTCCGCGGCCGAGTGGGACCGTGCTGCCGAGAATGTAAGCAAGCTCGGCGAGCCCACGCTAGGCAGCACAACTTTCGCCAAAGCCCACAGCCGACGCCGATGCGATTCTGGACAGCAGTGGTGAGGAAGAGTCCACCAACGACTCACAGCGCACGCCGTAAAATGGGGGGCGTCTGGCAGCAAGCTGCCCGACCAGGGGAAACCGTCCAGCCTGC